GCAGACTAACTAGTACATTAAGTAGATTATTTATGTTAAAAAACAGAATATACTAAACTTCAGCAAATAGAAGAATTAAGTTTACGCAGAGAAAAATCAATTAAAAGCAGACACTCCACAATGTTTCAGATACTGTTTCAAGCTGGCAGCATTTTGTAGTGTAAATTGGTCTATCTTCTATAAACTTCTCTATTTTTACAGTCAGATAGAGGGGAATTGATGGAGGACATCTTTTTATCCATACCTTCTACCAAATTTCTTTTTGTCTCAAAAAAATACGGCATCCTACTGGTGACTAAACCTGGAATCAACATTTATTCACTAGGAATTTGTTATTCAGCTTCACTCACCAGAAATGGTATCAAAGCTACCGTTTTCTTTGGTAGTCATTTGCATTCCTCTTAAGGTACCAAAACCAAGCAGTTTTACCTCAACCTTTGAGTTTTGTAATACTGTGGGGGCCCTCTGGGAAAAACAAGTGTTTAATGACATAAGAGGGCACCTCCTTACTGAATAGCTATTTACTTTGTATTGAAGAGGAGAAAATAATTTCAATAATAGTCAAACATCCCATCTCATCACATGACATGGGTGCATACCAGMATGTTGGCTATTTATTGCCTTCATGGAGACATTAATTACCTACATGGAGACACTTCTGAGATACTTTMCCTTATGGAAAGAAAAAAAGCAGGAATAAACCAGTTTACCAATATTTGGCAATTTTWGACCAATTGTTGTTGATTACACTTACAAAAGGCTAGAAAATTCACAAAGCCACACTCTTGAGATACAGGAATTTGGATTCACTCAGCCCTACCCTATTTGGATTAAATTTAAATCATCAATTTTTTGCCAAAGCTGTTTCTGTTCTAATTATCAAACATTGCTGAGCAAGCAAACATATTTTGCTAGGAAACAAACAGCAAGTTGTTGTTGAGAAAGAAACTTAAGTGTCTGCTTCATAAAGACTGAATCAAAGCCCTTCATTTGTCATTTTAAGCAATTTCTAACATGCATATGTGCTTCTCTTTCCACAGACTGTAGAGGTGGAAGACAAAAGAGTGCAGAGGGATTTAGTGGTTGTTAAAATAAGAGAAATGTCTTAAAATGGAACACTGAACAAAGAATCACATGTATTTCTGTTGCCAATCCACTGAATTCACTCAAACTAAAACAAATATTATTTTGGCCAACAGTAAACTTTGGGTTTACCAGTTTTCTTTGTTAAAAATAAAAAATTAAAATCCTGTATCTCAACCAACTGAATGCCACACACACAAATGTAATTTTTTCTCTAGAATAATTTTAGTATGCTATCAGAAAGCAGTCAGACAATGAAAAAGAAAGAGCATTCATCTGTTCTTCCAATAACTCACCTTTTCTATTAAAATTATTTTATGTTCTTTGGCAATATATATTGTTTTAATATCTATTTATTTTAGTATCTCTCTTTTTTAATCTGATTTAACTTTCAGAATACCTCAGATCCCAGGATTTTATAGGATCTCCTGGCAGGTTTCACATCAACTCATGGTTCCAATTCAAAAGAGACTTGCATTTTCAGCAGGAGGGAAGTATTTAACAATAGTATCTCTTATGCAGTATGCCATGTAAAATCCTGGAACTTATCACTGAATACTAAAAAAAAACCTCAACAAAAGACAAGTCAAACCTTTACCATTTACCTCATCCCTCTGGTTTGGGCTGGGGGGAGCTTTTTTCAAAACTATTTGTCATTCTGTATTAGAGAGAGATTTTGGAAGATACTACATTTGTGTTACATCGTGCTGTTTTGCAACAAATGAACAACGTTCTGGAAATCCATATGAATCTATTGTATGTTAAGTGATACTTCAAAGAAAAAAAAAAGAGTGCTCACAAAGATCAAAAGTAATTTATGTTCCTTCCTATCGCAAAAGTCCTTCCTGACTTCAAAAATACAGGAAAAGCAATGGCAACTATGTCAGACTTCTACAGYGCAGTAGGAAGATCGGATTCCTCTGGTTCCAATCCTACACTCCATCGCATACTTYCATATCAGCGTAACAAAAGCCTCTGGTGCTGATGTACTGCTCAAGGAGGAGAAAATCTGATACAAATTGAAAATTAAGAACTTTATATAATTTTCCATCTCTTATGGAGGACCAGCTCCCAAAGGATCTGAAAAGAAACAGTATTTATAAGAAGAAACGCAAATAATTTATTGCTTTCCAATTGTCAAAATTCCTTAAGAATATTAAAAATGAGGGATCAGGAACTAAATTCAGATAGCAAACTCCATAACCTGGCTACATGCAACATCTATATACACAATTGTATTAACAAAAAGTTCAATACCATGTAAATGGCAATTGCTTATGTCCATAATACCATATCATGCCAGCAAATCAAGACACTTTGTGCATATTTTTCTTTTATCATGTCTTTCCATCTTTTGCTCTTTTGGTAATAAAGCCAGATAGTTGTACCATTTCAAAAGAGATACTACCATCTTATTCATTTCTAATTTCTATTTTAACACATCAACTTGGGAATAGCTAATCCACACACATATACCTATAAAGCAGCTCATGTTCACAAAGCCATGCTGTAGCCATCCTGACCACCTTGGTAAGCCATTTCAAAGGCCTACTTTTTTTTTTTAATTAACAAAAAGGTGTATAACTGTAAGAATCATCTGTCACACTAACATTTTGTACTATTCCTACTGAAATTCCCATGGGAAAATAGGTACAAATAAAACCATGAAGACAAGTTCATACCTAAGGCTAGGGGTTTAACTTGAACTGTAACTAATGTAAAGAACTGAAAAAAGCACTCTGTATGAGACTTCACTGCATCTTAAAGAAACCACCACTGTCACACATTTTCGAATGCAAATGCACGATGTCTTGCACCTTAACATTTTCTGAAGTGTAGAATAGACTCCCTCTCAGACTTCAGGCTTATAGCTAAAGGCCTTAGATTCTAACTTTTTTAACTTTGATCACATTCTGGATGTGAAATCAGCATCTCCTCTTAATGGTCTCTMACCTGTAGTGAAAACTAGGATGCAGTATGCATTTTTAATGCATAAGCATGGTACTGAGCATCTGCACAAACCATAAAGAGAAGCCTGTCTTGGCGTTTATAAATCTTACACAGAAGATGACCCAACTGCACTATATTTACCTTAAGCAGCAGATGAAGCTTAAACTTGTGTTAAGTAAGTTTCCCATCCTTAAGAGAAGAATATAGCTCTCCCTCTGTATATTCTTTAGCTCCTTGTGATCTTTGGCCCAGCCTATGCAGAGATATTGCTCTGTCTGCAATTCCATTATGGAATATCATAGGGCAACAATCTGCCTCATAAATATTTACTTGGAAAAAGAGTAACTGGATACATCTATTCWTATGGTTGATTTTCTAGGTTCAATTCAAGTGATTTTTTTGCAGATTACAACGGAATTCTCAATATCTRCGTTAACACATCACATTTCTGTTCTATCTCAGATAATTAAAAAAGAGACCTGCACACAAATCAGATATAAAAACCTATTAAGTGGCACATGTGACATCTGAACAGCAGGCAAACAAGCTAACTGCACTTATGAATGGTCTTTGACCAATTCTTCTAGAAGACATGAGCAGCATACAGACTGTATCATTCAACATAGTGCTGCCTGCCTACTTCTCTGCTTTCAATTTCCTGTACTGATGTAGTTACCTACAATGCAATGCATGAGGATGGGAAGGTCACACCCATCTAGCCAATCAATCTAAGCAATTAAAAAATATTTTACATCAATACATTGTTTGTTGAGGGCTAGGTATATACAAAGGAAGGGGGAAGGGATTATATGGGGAGGAAGGGAAAGGAATCATAAATTATAGGGAAACATCATGGGTAGGAATTAAGACATCACCTCCAGTCCAGATTCAGTCTCTCTCATGTTACTCCTTCTAAAAAAACACTGCAGAGTCTCATCCAACTCTGATGACTCTCTGTGAAGTGCTCTAGCTGCCACATGCAATGACTGTTCTCCTTCCACCCTCTATATTCCCCCAGTTTTCTGTAGATTGGCGTCTGCTGTGCATTAGGAAATACTCCTACTATACGAGTGAGCAAGAGGAAGAAGGGCAAGCTCATAGTAAGCTTCTGCCCTMACTGATGTGGTCATCAGACGGTCAACGCTAAATCCAGATTATTAATATCAACTGAAACCCTACCTAGAGAGCAGCTAATTAAGTATCCTAGCTTTGTGTTTCTTTCATTGCATAACAGGAGAGGTACAAAAACAAGAACTTTGGCATCCATTCAATATCTTATCTTAAGTTTTTACTTGCAACAATATCGGGCTTGCATGTGTAACTGAAGTATGCAGCCACAGGTGAAATATTCTGAGTCCTTACATGAAAAGTGTATCCATTAAAAGCACAGCATTCACTCAGGCAAAACATCAGGAGAGCATCCACACTGCAGTCCGAATCTGAAGGCAGCTACAGGAGGTTTTCATCTTATGTATTTGCCAGCTGATTACAGAAAAAAAAAYCTAAAAAACTGGGTACATTTATGAGGGAAGACATGCAAATAGGCACTTCTTTCATTGTTTGTTTACAAACGGCCTAGTGCATTTTCTGAAATACTCCAGATAATGTAGCAACCAAAAGCTACAAACTCACCATGTAATTTTGTTGTTCTTAAAATTYTATATTAGAATTCCAACTAGAAATTCTGAACAAAGGAAAGAAAGGTCTTTACACAAATTTACAAGTAATAAAGTAAGTTGTATCAATCAGCTATGTCAGTTTATTCCGTGTATTGACAGGAATCTCACTTTACTAGTACACTTTCCTTCCTRAATTAGAACTCCTAATGCTAAATAGGGAAGGGTAGACAGCTACTTAACACATCAGTACAGTGGCATTAGCTTCCAGCAAATTATGTCTCCTTTCTTCTTTCATTCAGAACAGCTGTTAAAGGTTTTACTTTGCTCTAATGTGACAAAATTACTCACCTTCCTCATCCGGGCCCATATTTTCATAGGAATCCCAGCGTATTAGTGGGTCTGATGTATTGTAATCAACTACTACTCCATGGTCATTCTGAAGATGCTCACATCCTAAAATGAAACACACATTTGAGACCAAAAATTATTATGGTCACATATGTAATTATATACATACACAGATTTATGTATGTGGCCTTCTGACAGAAGTTTGYTCCCCAAATGGTAATATTCTGAAATGTAAGAAGTAGCAAGAGGGGAAGAAAGGTTAAATAAAACAAGTTTTTTTAAAGCTTTATCATTCAGGGAATTTTCTCTTGAGCATTTTGATTATGAGGTAGGCTGATAACTTGGATCCCTAAACACAAATAACACAGATGATCCACCCAGCCCTACAGGGTCAGACATGATAAAGAACTTTTGAGAATGAAACCATGAGTATCTATAAAGGTATGGTACTAAAGGAATGATAAAATTAGTTTTTGCTACAGGTTTCATTCTGATTCATACAGATTATTATTCTGATACCACAGCAATTTATCACTAACAATGAATAGGGAGAGCTGAAAACTTTAACACCGTGTCCCTTTCAGTTTCCCCAATGGTGCCAGCTCTGCAGAACCTGAGCCTAGACAGCTGGCTTTCAATGTGTTTTCTGCATTTAAGTACGCCTTGCCAAATTATACCTGGAATTTTCAGCAGTAATCCATGTTTCTTGCCCATAACATAGCATTAAATAATGTTCCGGTATTAAATGGATACATTGGAGAATTTAGGTGTAGTCCCGTGATTCAAAAGCAAAGTATAAGCAGCAAGAATTGACCTGGCTTTGATACTGATACAAATCAAACAGACTTTTTTTCTCCTCTGTCTAGATTAGGGCACAAATAAATCCTCAGTTATCAAACTTTTGGCTGTACCTACAGAAGGAAGTCCTACTGTAAATTGTTCTAAAGCAGCAGTATTATGCACTGTGACTTCTAAAACAAAAAAAATACAACTAGGACAAGAATGCTATCGTCCTGTATTCCTCTACAACCTGGAAAAAAAATATCTGTGGAGATTTCTGATGACACTTGTCACAAGGCAGATTTATTAACTTTATTATTAAATATTCAGGAATCTTATATTCTTGGAAACCATGTTCTTTCTCAAAAACATGACAGTCAGTTATGTTTTAGACTATGTCCAGTTTAAAGTTACAGAATACAAGTACATTTGTAAAGTGAAACAAATTCAGGGGACATGACTAGGGTCAGGACTGAAAGACTCTGCCTGTGAGCAATGGCTGAGGGATCAGGGCTTATTCAGTCTGGAGGTAGGRTGGTGTCTTGTTTTGAAAGACAGGTATTTGCCAATGAAGGCGGGGACCCCTCTTGGAGTGGTGGATATGACCCCCCTTCCCTCTGAATTATTATAGCTTTGAAAAAATCACGGGCTTTCAGGCAAGAATATGGATAAAAGGGAATAACAGTTTTTACTAATATGTATAAAAAGGTGAAACAAGCAACAACAATAGCAACAACCAGCCCAGTCCCAAACCCAATGACAGCTTCACACCCACACCCTCCCCTTTGGTGCAGTTACAGTCCCAGTCAGCAGGGGCGCTGTTGGCTCCCGGCTGGGCAGGGCGGGTGCGATGATTCCCCGGCGGCTGCAGGGGACGCTGTAGCACGGGTCCCGGCTGGCTCAGATCTCCATRTCGCCAATGGTGGACACAAAATGGCAGAGGTGCATGGAGAAAAGTTCCTCTGCAAACTCACAGCAGAAACGCCAATCTCGGTGCTCCTCTGGACAGCACAAAACACCAGGACGGCAAAGAGACGAGCAGAATCCCGTGGCTGAGAGATGGGATGGAGCAGGACTGAACCCCTGAAGCTGGAATCTCAGGGGGTCCCCAACAAGGCACAGGGGAGAAGATCACAGTGCACCAAAAAGAGGAACCAACGAGCGGAGATGCTGGGCTCTGCAGAAAAAGAGCAGTCGAGCTCTCCCCTCGCAGGTAGCAGGTTGAYCTCCTTCTCTCATCCAAGCAGTGCAGGAAGTGAAGTCATCCTCGACCACACAAACACACACTCCCTCCCAGTGCTTAGAAAGATCGTTTAGGTGGGGCATAGGTCTTATTGTCTTCACTAATCACCCAGCCATCAAAAGGATGACCTGGCAATCAGTGTATCCCAGCAACAAAAYGGGAAAGAAAAATTCCCCAAGAAAGGAAACAAAGGGGAAATCTTAACCCACAACAGATGGTCTTGACAGGGACCTGATAGCAGCTTCCTAAAGGCGATAGAGGAGACAGCCAAGTCAGAGCAAGGCAGAAAGACAAGGATCAGGCAAAATTTGAATCTAGATAAATTTAGAGTCAATATAAGGAAAAAATAAATACACTGTGAGGACAGTCAGATACTAGAATAGCCCACCCACTGAGGCTGTGACGCCTCTGCCCTCGAAGTTTTTCACGATTTGACTGGACAAAGCTCTGGGCAACCTGGTCTGATCTCACACATGAGCCCACTTTCAGCAGGATGATGGACTATTGATACGCTGTAGTTATTCTATAGTATTTTCAGATGTGGAAAAATTATTTTGCAGAAATCGTAAGTAAGTATTTCAGGGTGTCACCGAAAACTGGGATATAGACTSTCCAATCCATTTATAGGTTAGAAAGCCAACACTACTAGCAGTGCTGGATGCATGGGAATTTCTCCTCAAAGCATGTATCCCCAGTAAYCTAACAGATCAGGTTATATTCCTGAAATTAATACATACTCATCACATTTCCTGAATACATGCATATAATCTAATTATTTCTGTGGACTTATTTGGGTATGGTTCCAGATTTTCTCATTAATCTTTTCTTCTTGAGAGCATTTAAAACATGTGGTCAGGTAATAATGTACTTCTCTTACTATTCTATGYTCTGATACACAATCCTTGTTCTCAGAACTAAGATCTCTGCTAGCACATATTAATCACTAATATAAGTAAATAAGGAAGCATTAGCTGGCACAACACTTCTTAGTCATGGATTTAGAGAATTAACACAAGATCACATGAATCTCTGGTATTAGTACTAAGCACCGTATGGTGCAAACTGAGCATTAAACACAAATATAGGGATCATACACTATTGTGCTAAAATTAAAGAATTTTTCAATGTCTTCCAAGACTGCTGAATAYATTTCTTAAAGAAATCTGACTTGTTCAGTAAGAAAGGTGAGCTGCTCTTCCTAGTCAGTAAATTCCTCAGACAGCAATTGAATACAAACATCCAATCACTTAGAGCCTTACTTTCCAGCAGCTTGAACCCTCTTAAAAAGACCACACCTCTCATTTGTCATCTAAGGAAGGGAAACTTGAAATAGTCTTGGTCCTTTTTTAGACATGTCAGCTGGCCTGTCTCCAAKCATTTACCATACAGAAACATTCTGAACAAGTGAGACAAATTAATTCATAAAAATGGTTTTCTTATACAGTTTTCTAACAGGCTGGGTGAGATCTTTGTGCTCAGCTGTACAGAATCCAACTTCTTCCTGGCTGATGCCATAATTTTTTGAATTATCAAACTTGTGTGGAAAAAAAAGGAGGAAAACATGCAATTCACAGGACACTGAGGACAATGAATGGGAATATGCATGAGACAGACAGTTAAGGGTTTTCAATCAGTCTCAGACAGAATCCATACTTTTTGGGACAYCATAAAATGACTAAGAACACATTCATTAGCAGAATTAAACAGCAATGATCTGCCTGATCTTAAGGTTATTTGATAATTGCTACTTGCAGTAAGAACTTAAACATGCTAAAATAGAATTTYGGAAGCATGCAGAATATCCTACAAGCCAATTTCAAAGCAGAAGCATTTCCAAGAGAACTATAGTTGTATCTCTTTATGCTAAACTGAAGACAGTYCAAACTTCAATCCTGCAAACATAATCAATTATGACAATATCCAATAAAGGTTATGGAATAGGYCACTACTGTCACTTACGCTGAGCCGAACCACCTACTATCCATGTTTTCACAGATACATACATGTTTTCTGCTTGTTGTAGCAAGTGTTCTGTTACATCTTTAAAATGAAATCTGGTGACTTTTATGCTGATATAAATGCAGTCTTTATTAATTCTTTTAAATTTAAACCAATAACTAATACATCTTAATGGCAAAGTAAAATTTCAGATTTTTTTACAAGAGAAGTGGAATAAAAGAGGAAATTTTTCTTTTTTTAAAAAATGCATCTTTAAATAAGCTTAGTTTTCAAAATAAGCATATTTTTGRTTCTGTATGCTCACCTTGAATTTTCTCTGGAGTTCCTGAAAACACTAATTCCACTTTGCTATAATCAGGGAAACGGTCATCTGAGAACAAAGAATAGKATTTCAGCAAGCTGTTTCCAAGGAGAGCAGTTTCAGAGAACTCAGAAATCAGGATTCTCTATAGCTATCTATACATCCTCATCACTCTTTCCTTCTCACTTACAACTTAGTGATCTGCTTTTAAAAGTCACATTCTTTGCGCTATTCAGTTATCCAAAAAAAGACGACATAAATGCCAGCCTGAGTTTTGCTTGCTTTCTGAACAGTCAAAAGCAGAAGAAATGTACAGTACCTAACCCCCTCTATAGACAGACACAGCTTATAAAGAAAACACACCCAGAAAAATCTGAAATGTTCCCCATATTGGCTAAACCACAGAATTAGACYACAAAACTTTTGGTAGCCTTATGTTGTGTGCTGCAGGAAAATACACTTCATTTTAGTTTGCTAGCAACATAGGCTGAGGAAGGTGCAATCCTGCATATAGACGTAAGAATAAAACTGAAGTTATTATTCAGAAAATACAAGGACTAGTACAACACATTTTCAATTATGTCTGAAAACTATGTCAATTTTTTGATATTCTGAAGCATATTAAAAGACTCAGACTATGCCACAGACACATTATCAGACTCTATGACTGTTTTCACCAGCCAGAAAAGGGAACAACTTAGCTCATCTTATTTYCTTCAAAGCTGACTTAAGAGAGTCACCATTCAAACAAATGTCTGTTATTTTTACAAATGTGAGAGAACATGGTRAGGACTATGTAGGAGTATCTGAATTATTCTGACAAGTTAACTCACTTGAAGAACTTTTCTTGTCATTAGGGGCTTACATGTGTTACATACTATAATTTAACTAACTCAAAGCAGTCTCACTTTCCCTAAAAATAAGACAGGAAAACAAAAMAGAATAATTTTGAAAACAGGTGCTGAAGAAGATCATCACATGTACATGCTTGCACAGCCCAACATATACACATCCAACCAATCAGAGAAGACAAGTACCTTTATTGGCATTATCCAAATCTTCTTTGCCAAACACCAAGCCATGTCCTTGAATAGCTCCAGTGTGAAACTGAAGGCGAAAAATCACATCACGCGTAGCTGACCTGTATTTTTTGTGATAACACTTAATCTAGAAAGGAACATTTTATATCAGAAAGTATTTTCTTACAATTCTGCACAAATTAGTGTATATATTAGTTGCTAATTAAAGCAGCCACACAATTTATTGTAGACACCTGTGATGTTAAAACAAACAGGGTATGCATTATTCAATCCTTTAAAATTACACAAGGCAGGACACTTCTATATATGTAAAAAATAATAATGACTGTTTCCATCACTATCAGTCAACTGTCAGTACATTATGAGTCAGAATCACAAMATCTGGCAATATCCATATGCTAACCTGTATACAGACTTCATCCCTAGCAAATTAATGAATTTCAGCACAGCCATTTCAAAATAACAAGAATATGAAGACTTTTTCAAAGCAAGCCTGCAAGCTGATTAGATCTCTTTCAGAACTTTTGAAAAACCTACTCTACTGATGACAGGATCTTATTTTAAGTAACTTCAGGAAGTTGATAGTAGTTTTGACATCCTAGTTATAACACAGAACTCTACAAAAACATCTAGTATGAATTTCAGTAGCTAAAAGTGAACAAAATACACCTATTCTCTAACACCACCTTCCCTTAGACTAAACCTATGGATATTTTACCTATTTTAATTGACTGAGTCTACTGTAATACAAAGTCACTCAGCATTTTTATAGGAATATGTAAAAATTCTGACAACCTTAGTCACAGAACTGAAAACTTTATTATATTATCCTGATTATATCAAGATTTTATGATAAAACAGATATTACTGAAATGCATTAAAAACATAACAAGCATCACTTTTATTAAAGGCAGACTAAGAAAAGCATCCTAGACAGAAAATGCCAATTGAAGAGCATAGAGTTACTCAAATAATATAATAAAGATGTAGGAGCTTACAGGGGATGCTTCTGAAAGTTGGGATTAAAACTTAGTTATGAAATTTTTCTCACTACAGGTTTGAAAAATCTGACTTAAGTTGTTGCTATCTAGCCTCCATTATAGTAACCCCATGATATCTTAAATTCCAGACCTCAATCAGCACTGACAATTTACATGGTACACAGAATAATTTCTGAAATATTTCAGCCCGTATACCAGAAATGCTTTCTTTTCAWGTATTCTGTATACAAATCACATATTCCTAACCATTATAAAGGCTGGGAGATTCTCTATACATGTAATCTTTATCTTATCTGAAAGCAAAGAGGTTGCTTTTTTCTTTGTTAGGTTTTATTTTAAAAAGGTAATTTCCTACAGCATATTTGCAATACCAAATAAAATAGTATTTTYTTCTTTTTTTGGACAGCACTGCTCATGCACTAAAAGGAACATTGTGTACAAATCCTTGTCTGTTAAAGGGATCTACTTCCTTAAAGTCAAATACAACTACCTAATTCACTACTTAAATTCACTACTTAAATTACCAAAAGGTAAGTTATGAGTAACAACTCGACTGCTTGAATCAGTAAATAAATGCTCAATCTCCACTATGCCAAGCAATTCCATCTAAAAGGTGAAACACCATCATAAGGGATGAAAAAGGCAAGTTTGCCCAGAAGTAAAAAATGGACARAAACAGAATTAAGAGAGCCCTGATGAGAGATATTGAAACTGACCTGCTCCAAAATGTAGAATTGGTATGAAAGTAACTGTGATAATTCCATTTAACTGTATGATTTAAGCAAAAATGCTTGAAAAGATCTTCTTTAAATTTATATACATTCATACATAATTTAAGTTTTTGCTTTGCACAGTTGCTGGACTTACTCAAAATGTACTGTCTTTTGCATAAGAACATTTATAATAATGCTGAGTTCCTCCTCTGGAGAAAGTGAATTAGAAAATAGAGGAACTTCAAAGTATGAGCCTTGGATAATTTTAACCTAGATTAATTCAAAATTAAATTTAATTAAAAATTAACTTCAAATTAATTTTAGCCTTAAATAGCTTACTTACAGAGAACTGTAATTGTTTATGAGAATCTGTCCTCTTAAAATCAGTAATATTTTACATCTATATCTAGTGAYCGAAAATTAGTGCTCATAACACATAATAGGCTTTCCATGAAGTCTAAGCATAACTTTGAATTCTAATTCCAGCACCTTCTGATGCCATAATCAAGAATTAATGCAGTCTGCTATAATGTGTTGGAAAATTCCTATATGCATTTACAGATGTCAGTCAGCTTTTCAAAAGTTGCATCTGTTCTGCATCACCACATGTGATTAACAAATTCCCTAAAGCTAAGACAAGAAACAATACTACATTTTCCTTAAAAAAAAAAAAAAAAAAGAAAAAACCCCACATTAACAAACAAAAACAAACAGAAACACCCCCCCCACACACACACATGCATTTCAAGTAGTTAAATCTTTTGGAATTGAAGGTGAAGCATCTTAAAGATCATTACTTTTGCCTGATACCACTGAAGTTTTTGCTTAGACATATGTAAAAAAATTCAACACTTTAGTCTTGGTTTAGGAAATACTGGAATGCTGAAGAAGACACTGTATTCCTCAGACTTATCTCAAACAATAGCATGGGATCAATGAACATTATCTCTTTTAAAATGATCCATGCATTAGTGAAAAACTATGTGCTCTTTTTTCATTCAAAAAGCTTATTTGAGAAATACTTAATTTATCTCAGACTGATTTCTGTTGTGATCTGTTCCATTTCCTTAGGCACTAACGGTCCTTCAATAAGACTCCCTTAATTTGAAACTATCTCAAATCTCCTGAGTACACCCATTTATAATAGTATATTTAAAAWTTGCTTTTCCATTTTCCAGTGAAAGAACAATGAAACAATATACCAAACTGAATGGGAAAGGAAGATTAAAAAAGCAACTGATAGTGAGGACACTGTCATGTCATAGAAACAGTATCCCCAAATTCAGTGTTCCCACTGAAACCCTTCAAACGACACACTGCTYGACCGTACTCCCTCCCTTTCTCCCCTGAAGCAGGCTGAAGAGAATTGGAGTCACAAAACATAAAGATCATGGGACGAAATAAAAACAATTTACCAAACACAGCAGTGAAAAAAAAAAAAAAAAAATAAAAACAAAAAAAATAATAAAAAAGTGTATAAGAAAAAAAAAAAAAAACAACAAAAAATGAATGAGTAACATATGATTGCTCAAACCTCTCCTCCACGGAAACCTCAACAACACCTGACTGCTCTTTCCACCACGCCATCCAAACCAGAAGGAAGCCCTTCCCTGTCTCCAAAGAATGACATGAGGTGGTATGAAATAACCTCTGTGTCCTAGCCATGTCCCTCCTGGTTATTACCAAAAAATTAACCCTGTCCTTGCTAGGACCAGGACATTATCCACCCYTTATTGTATGCCATCTATATAATGCCCAAATCCCACACCTTCCAACTATATACATACATATATATATATATATGTATATATATAGATATATATATAGAGATATATAGATATATATATATATGTATGTATACATATATATATGTACATACACACATAAGCACAGGTATCACTTCCACAGACAATGACCAAATCCCTCCAATATGRCTGCTGAGTTCATTTAGTTCATGACTGTGAATTCTATCAGTCCTAGATGTCTGTCACAGAAGGAGGGCTGGTGTGCTGTCAGGTGGTTGCAAGATGCATCACACCTGGTGCATCGGAGCCACCTATCCTCACTGTCCATGGCAGTTATGGCATACAGTGGATGTCCGTGTCATTCAGTAATTAATTATTGCATTATTCTACAATGTAATATTACTGACTGTTCTCACCCAAAAACCAAATCCCCTTGAGGTACACCACATTTCCCTGTCCCTCCACATTATACACCAAATGCACCCATGTCCTTGAGTAAAAACAATCCCACAGATGGTTTTGCGTTTGCCTAAGCAGTACCAATCCAAACTGTCTTCCATAAYATACTCCTCTTATGCACAACAGGTACTTTATTCTTTTCTGCAGTACATGAAGGTTTTGATTGGGTAGCGCCAGCTCAACTGGTAGAGCTCTAGCGTTAACTAATCAGGTGGCCTTCGCTAGATCCCAGTGTTTGAAGGTCCCACCATTCATTGCTTTCAACCAGGTTTCTAACAGCCCATTGTAMTGTTCAATTTTCCCAGAGGCTGGTGCATGATACAGAATATTATATACCCACTCCATACCATGCTCCCTGGCTCAGGTGTCTTTGAGGTGATTTTTGAAATGAGTCCCCTTGCTCCAACTCACTTCTTTCTGGGGTATCATGTCTCCACAGGACTTGCTTTTCAAGGCCCTAGATGGTGCTCCTGGCAGTGGTGTGAGGCACAGGGTACATCTCMAGGCATCTGGTGGTTGCTTTCACCAGTGTAAGAATGTAGTGCTTGCCTTGGTAGATTTGCCCGAGTATGATGCAATCATTTGCYAGATCTCTCCGTATTTATATTTCGACCATACCATAGGAGCTTTACCCACTTGGCCTGCTTGATTGCAGGACATTTCARTTATAGATAAGCTGAGAGATAGAGTCCATAGTTAAATCCACCCCTCGAATATGAGCCCATTTGTATGTTGCATTCTTCCCTCATAATCTGAGGCGTCATGGGCCCACCAAGCCAGAAATTATTTACCCTTATGTTGCCAGTCCAGATCCACCTGARACACTTTAATTGTGGCAGCTTGATCCACCTGTTTCTTGTTGCGACATTCTTCAGTAGTTTGACTCTTGGGCGTGTGCATTTACAGGTACTTTYACAGCCAGCTTCTCTATCCAGGCATCAATGTCTTGCCACAATTTAACAGCCCAGATGGTTTTACCTCTGTACCACCACTAGACCTTTTTCCACTGGTACAGACACCCCCACAGAGCACTTGCTGCCATCCATGAGTCAGTGCACAGCTAAAGCGCTGGCCATTTCTCTCATTATTTCACTAGCGATACCTAAAGTCAGCTGGATGGCTTTCAGCTCTGCAACCTGACCTGATCCACTTTGTCTCTCAATAGCTTCTGCAACTCATCACATAGGACTCCATACAGCAGCTTTCCAC